AGAGAGAGAGAGAGAGAGAGAGAGAGAGAGAGAGAGAGAGAGAGAGAAAGGCTTCCATACGCAACCCACAGGTGCCACGGAAAATTACAGTCTCCTTGGATCTCACACTGCAAACTCAGTTCCTCAATACACTTGTTGACATCAACAAGATTCTGTGCCCAGGTGCTAAGTGGCATTAGCCGACTACACTCCCCAGAGTGGCCTGTCCCTTGCCTCTCACTCCCTCATGCCTTCAGTTTTACTTTGTGTTTACTCCATTATATAAGCCAGAGCTGATCGGGGAAAGCAGCCTTTAATTAACCACAAGAAACAGACAACCAGAGAGGCTGGCATCCCAGACACCAGGCTTAAACCGAAGTCTCCTCCAAGTCCTGTTACCTATCAAATGACTCTTGCACTTTCCGGAGTTCAAGTCCCCAGAGATCTTTTTACATCTTTCTACCACTTTTTCTGCTGGGAACTTCTAATCTACTCCTTGCCTAGAACTCTCAGGTGTCAGGCAACATCGATGTGCCTTGTCGAGGACCAATCTGCGGTGTCACTTCCCCAAACATCATCTCTAACACCTCTACGCTCCCATTCACCTCCCACCTTCCGCCCTTCCCTTCTGACTGCATTTGGTGGTTATGGTGGATCCCATTCCTGTCGGGGAGAAACAGAATCCACGTTATGACATGTTTTTGTTCAAAGCGAGCAGCACGTGACTATTACCAAACGACCATCGACTGTTGCTTTTCTCTCTTTTTTTAATGGGGGGCAGCGAAGGGAGGCAGGAGGACAGACACTATTATGTGGCCCTGGCTGCCCCTTAACTCACTCTGTAGATCACGTTGGCTATTAACTCAGCGATCTGCGTGTCTCTGCCTCTGGAGTGCAGGGATTAAAGGCACGAGCCACCATGCCCTGCCAGTAGACTGTTTCTCAAAACAGGGTCTCATGACTTAGCTCAGGTTAGCCTGGAGCTTGTGAATTAACAGCTCAACTTCCCAGTGCTGAGACTACGGGTCTGCAACAACCACTATGCCTGGCTGCCACGACAATGGCTCAGCACCGTTGACCTGAGATGTGAGATATGCTGAGACAGTAACTCCTTGATGCCTTGATGCCCAGGCCACGGGAAAGCACAGCGTGGAGACGCCAGGCCCTGGCTCCCAAGCTCCCCGGGCCCCAGCAGCACCTGTGACCCTGGTCAGAGCGACCCGCAACCACACACCGACCAGTACCTGGCATTCACGGGCAGTCAGAGGCGGAGACAGACAAGCGGTGTCCTCTGTGGTCAGCCGGGTGACACGGCAGTAGAAACTGCAGTTCCAATCGCTGCGAAGCGCCCGACTTCTCGCAATGCCGGAAAGCGTAGCATTGCCCCTGTAGCAGCCCGGTCCATTTATCCGCAGCCGACAAATCCAGAGTCACACATCCTGGGCGTTCCCGGCGCGCTCCGATGACGCCACACCAACCAATCCCCTACCATCTAGGCTCGGCTCGCCGGCGCGCCCAAGACGTCACCGACGATCGGCCAATCCTTTTGGGCTATGACCCCCAGAGGGTTGGAGGCCGTGATGTCGTCACTTACCATGCCACCAATCCGGCGGCTCCACTTTTCGTCCCTCCCAGTCCTCCGCCTCTTTTCTGGAACAGTCGGGCAACGTCTCTGGCCTAGGCTGAGTCATGGTGAGGCAGCTCTGGGTGAGGTGACAGGCCTGTCCCGGGGAGCCTGAGACGGGATCCAGCCGGACATGAGATTCCTGTGGCTCAGTAGGAGTTACCCGAGGGCCGGAACTGCAGTATGCACAGACTTGATGGCCCATTTGTGAAGCTGTAAGGATCCCAGGACTGGGAGAGACAGAACGTCTGGGCCAGGACATCTGAACAAACTTGACTTGGAAAAGTGAGGTCCAGTCTACAGATGAATTACAAGACGATACCCAAAGTGCTTGCATCTCTGTACAGCGTGGCTGGAGCACCGTCGCACCATGCATGTGGATTAAGAAAGATGTTCAAGTGTTGGTCACCCAAGCCCCTGAATACCAAAGGCCTATGGGCTGGGCTAACAGACCAGAATACTACAGCTCTGTCCTGATTATTTGTTTATCTGTTTGTTTACTTATTTGTCAGTCTGACTTAAGCTAGCTATCTGAGAAGAGAGGACCACAGTTCAGGGAATAACCTCTATAAGACACGCCTGGGGGCATTTTTGAACTAGTGATTAATAGGAACGGTCAAGCCCATTGTGAGTAGTACCACCCCTAGACTGGTTATCCTAGGTGCTATAAGAAAGTAAAAAGCAGGCTGATTGGGTGTGTACACTTATAATCTCAGCACATAGGAGGCAGAGGCAGGTGGATCTCCTAGTTCTTGTCCAGCCTGGCCAACATTACTTTTATTATCTTATTTTTTAAAGATTTATTTATTTTTATTTATATGAGTACTCTGTAGCTGTCTTCAGACACATATCAAAAGAGTGCATTGGATCCCATTACAGATGGTTGTGAGCTACCATGTGGTTGCTGGGAATTGAACTCAGTACCCCTGAAAGAGCAATCAGTGCTCTTAACTGCTGAGCCATCTCCAGTCCCCTGGCCAGCAATACATAGCAAGTTCCAGGACATCCAGGGCTACATAGAAAGACCATCTCAAAAAAAAAAAAAAAAAAAAAAAGTGGAGAAAGCTACTAAGTAGTGGTCCTCCATGGCTTCTGCTTCAGTTCCTGCCTCCAGATTCTTTCCTTGTGTTCCTACTGTGACTGCCTCAGTGAGGGACTGTTATCTGAAGTAAAAATTGCTTTTGGTCATAGTTGGGCAAAGACCCCAAGAATTATTTTGACAAAACCAGAGTTGGATTTTGAGAGTCTTTATTCAGCTGGCCAGTGGCTGTCTGATGAGAAACAGTTCTCACAGAGCAACCCCAACTGCTTTCTTCAGGAAGCTTAAAGGTAAAAACAATATGTGATTGGAAGTTGCAGAGGGAAGAAGAGCAAGCAAGCAGTTGAGCAGAAGCAAAAGAGCAGCAGTTAGCCAGGGTATCTAGACCTCAAGTCCCCCAAACAGGGTTGGATCAAAGGACTTTCCTGTAAGAGGGAGTGTAAGCAGAGGTCAGCGCTGAGCCAGTCCTTAGATGGTGGAAGCAGGGACAAGATGGAGGAACCTTGGCTCTGACGATGTTGCTTTCTCACAGCAATACATACCCTCAGACAAACTTTAAGTCTGAGAATTTGGGCTCCAGGTGCTGAGGCAGTGCTTCTCAACATTCCTGATGCTTTGACCCTTTAATACGGTTCCTCATGACTCCCAACCATAACTGTAGTCTTGCCACTGTTATGAAATGTAATGTAAGTGTTTCTGGAGGTAGATGTTTATTAAAGGGGTCGTGATCCTCAGGTTGAGAACTACTGTGCTAAGGACAGAGACTTAAGGCCTTAACTGAGGTTAGAGGTTTTTGGGGACTTTGATCAACAGTGGGGCAGGTAATCGACTCCTCAGCTCAGAGTAGCAGCTAGCAGCCATAGGCAGCATTTAGCTTTGTCCTTGTTCAAACAAACAAACCCCAAAAACAGCCCTCAAAAAACAAACAACAACAACAAGAAACCAGCCCTGGCTGTTTTCCTGTGCCTTTGGCACAGGAACATAGATTCAGTTTAACCTAAAATATCTTGTTTGATATAAATGTTTTACAGAGTTTTTTTTTATAGTAACAGAACAAAGAAAATGATAAAAGAAGACCAAATAATTTGGTCTTGGGACCTGTAACATTCCAACCCTCTGAAATCAGTGAAGTTCTAATCAGCCTTGTAGAAGGTGTAACAGCAGTGTGGCTTTTCCTAAACTGTTGGAGCTCTAGTTAACACTAATATCCCTTTTACCAACAAAGCTGGACTATTTTTGCTCTACCCATGACGAGAAGGTAAGGAAAAGTGTTACTGATGTTGAAGATCTGGGCCCGAGTGCCAGAGACTTGCTGCTAGGCTGTGCCAACAGACTCGAGCCTTCCAGCTCCAAGCCCTGAGAGCCGGGACCTATGGCTGCAGGCTCTGTGGCCAGACTAGAGGCTACAAGTTCTCGAGGCTGGGGTAGAGTTTCTAGGTTTTGCACTTAGCTAATGTTAGACTCCTAGGTGGGCCCTGGATCTTGGGACCTTCACTTAGCAGCTGTCAGACCAACAGAATCTTGCCAGCTTGCTGGAGTCAGTAATAGGCCTGTATTTCTCTTCTCTGATTCTTGGCTGCTTTCCACGCTCTCTCCTTCAGTTTTTCAGTCTTGGCACTCCACTCTCCTCTGCTCCCCATTGCACTCCTTGTTGTGTGGCCTTCATTGCTCCTGGGCACTCCGGACCTCTTCACTGAGCCGTCTCTCATCATGTTACCAGCTCAGTCCGCTCAAAAGTAGGCAAAAGGAGCTGGGGAGATGGCCTGCTCAATAAAGTGTTCAAGCAGGAGCATCTGAATTTGATCAGAACCCGTGGAAACAGTAGGGTGTGGTTGTGCATGCCTGTAATTCCAGTGACCCAGAGGCACAGACCCTGGGGGCGGGCTGGCCAACCACTCTAGCTGGAAACAGCAAGTCCCATATTCAGCGAGGCATCCTGTCTCAAAACAAGATAGAAAGCAGGAGGTAAAGGCATCAGATGTTGACTACTTGTGTGTGTGTGTGTGTGTGTGTGTGCATGTGTGTGTCCCCTACAGGTGACTTGGAGATAGGTGTGGGAGGAGGAATGTGTGAGAATCGAACCTGAGAATCAAGGAAGGAATGCAGGTGTGCTCTCAAGGGAGTCCAGTCCAGGGGTCCACGGAACCTCCATAGTCTACCAAATTCAGAAGGAAAGGTTGGAAATCTTCTAGATCTTTGGAAGAAGGAGGTCTGTGGCCAGGAAGGCCTGTTACCACACACTGATAGAAAACAACACAATCACTATTTTTTTGCTCCCCTTCAGTCCCAGGATCATTAGGTGAGCACTGTCAGCGGCCATCCTTGCCTCTGCATCTTGGAACAATGAAGAAGTCACACTCAAGAGCGTCCCTGGACACTTCGACTCTGGGAGCTTCACCTTGTCGACCAGTGACACCCTGTTTGCAGCCTCCACCTGTGACTTCTCCTTGGGGTTCACTAACCACAGCTATGGTCCTACGATGTGTCTGGAAGAGGACTACTGATACCAGAGGAACCGTGAACATGACAGGGGCGGGGGGCGGTAACCCAGTAGGGAGCACGCTTGCTATGTAAGCATGAGGACCTGAGTTCAAAGTCACATGAGCTCAGACACAGCAGCACACATCTGTAGCCTCAGCATTCCTGTGCTGAGAGGAGAGGTGAGAACAGGAATTCCCCAGAGCTCGAAGGCCAGCTAATGTTAAACAGCATTGACCAAAAGACCCTCTCTCAACACAGAACACAAAGATTGACGCTTGATGATGTCATAGCAATGGGTGCCAGGGTTTGAAGGACAGGTGAACAGTTCAATACACTTGTGACATGGTTGGTCTTGTGTCTGTTCTACGTGAATGATGTCATTCCTGAAAATAATTAGACCGTAGGCCCTGAGAACGGAGACTATGTCCTTATACTTTGTGTATGATGCTTACCCCTGAGATGGCACTAGGGATTTATCTGAGAAATAAGGGAAGAGGTTAAAAAAAAAATCAACCTTCATGGGCCTCGGGCAGCCTCATGGTGAAGATACGTGTCTATTGATTTAAACAGAGGCTTACTGTATATCCCAGGCAAGCCTAGAGCTCACAATGATCTTCCCTGTGACCACGCTACAGATGTGTCATCAAGCTAGTCACCAGGCTCTGTGCAGACAAAGTACTGAAGATGGTCATGAGCTCCCTGCAGGTGCTTTTGCCTCTTAGGTTCTGTCTTAAAGCACACACACACACACCGACTCAAATTCCAATACTGGCCATTGAACCTAGAACCACAAACATGCTTACCAAGAGCTCTGTCAGCTCCAAACCTCCCAGAACTCTAAGGATTCAGTTCTATCCCTGAGCCACACCCCAGCCCCTCACTGGGGGATTCTAGGCAGGGGCTCTACCACTGAGCCACACCCCAGCCCCTCACTGGGGGATTCTAGGCAGGGGCTCTACCACTGAGCCAC